GATGAAATGGATTCTCACAATTACAGAGCTTTTGTACACACATATATCTAGCTTAAAACTTCATTCTTACACTTCTATAAGACTAACTAATCTTTTTAATAGACATGATAGCCTCATTAACTAACTAATGTTAAGCTGCCATTTATTAACACTCATCAGAGGCAACATTGTTTCGTGCAAAAAAAAAAAAAAAAATATATATATATATATATATATATATTTCTAGTCGTTTGATTTGTGTGAACGACTAAGATTTAAGGATCTGTCGGATCCGCATAATTAAAGAGACATGGAGATGATCTGAGTCCGGGGTGGGCATAATTATGATTATTTTATTTATAAAAAAAATTCAGATAATTTGACTACATTTGAACTTTCCAAGTCATCCCCCAGCCGTAGAATGGTTGCCGCCAAAATATTTCGCCTAAGGTAGTGTTGCACATGTTGAATGTTTGTTGGATAGAAAATAATACCTCTAGAATTTCATACAATTTTTTTTTGTTGAATGAACGATGTTATCTACTCTAAGGAGAGGAGATAGGCTTATTTACGAAATTGCCACCCCTTCAACCGTGCACGTGTCGACCATGTAAAAAGGGTGGGGATGGAAACGCACTACGTTTTTGTTTGCTTCCTGAAACCCGAAGCTCTGATTGCATCCTTAGGAGAGTTGGGGAACGAGTGTCCATTGCAGAGAGATGGTACTAGCTGAACAGAGTTTCTCTCTGCAACTCCTCTCCCATAGACCTGAACCTTAACTATGGAAACTCGCTTCTCTGTCTCAGATGCTTCTCTTCTTCTCCCCATTTAAAACCTTATCTCTATTTCTCCTCTTCTTCTTCCTTGCTCTTCGAAAGATCCCATCTTCTGGGTTTAATCCCCATTTCTCTCTCATCCCTAACGTGTGCATGTCAGATATCCATCCCAAATCTTGGCCCAATAACACTTCAGAGGTAAAGTTCAACCTTCGTCCCGTTTAGTTCTTGTCCAAAATGCAGATTAGATAAAGATGAATAAGAAATGTCTCATATAATTCTATTCTCTATGTAAGGTACCTCGATTGACAACGATGATATCGAAGAGCGACTCAAGCTGAAAAATGGACAAGGATTGTCTGCTCTCCACTTCCGGTGCCCTCTCCGTGCCCTCCTATTTTGTGTGATCACGGTTAAGCCATGTCAACATTTTATATTGTTTTTAATAGATATAATAAGACAAAAATGAATAGTAATATAAAATGTTGACGTGGCTTAACCGTGACCACACAAACAAGAGGGCACGGGGAGGGCACTGGAAGTGGAGGGCAGACAATCTTTGTCCCTGAAAAATTGTGCGGATACCATGGTCCGAAATGCCGATAATATCAGCGATATATCGTCGATATTATCTGTTTTTAGGGGAACCGAAATCTTTTTCACTATCCAAATGGTTTTCGGGATAATATCGGAATGGGAATACTCGGAGAAGAACGCCGAAGCTGTAGAAGCTCCGGCCGACTGTAAAACAGGACCCTAGACTCCGATCTAGGTATGAAAATGAAATAGAAGACGAGATGAACATTTTTATATATGAAGTTTGCCGTGAAACGGTCGGAGGTGTTCGGAAAGTGAGTCGACACCCACGGCCTCGCCGGAGTTCGCCGAGTTGCAGAGACGAGAAGGAGAGGGAGAAAGACGAGGTTGCTGATGATGATATGTGTGCGTGTGTGTGTGTATGTGGGTCTCGGACCCTTGGTGCAGAGAGAAAGGAGAGAGACGGCAGCGACGAGGAAGAAGCAGAAGTCGATCTGCCGATGTGGGTCTCTGTGCATGTGTGTGGGAGAAGGATCGAGAGACCTTGGGTCTCTGTGCATGTATGTGTGTGTGGGAGAAGGATCGAGAGACGTGGGAGATCTGTGCTTGTTGTGGGAGAATGGAGAAGGGGGAGAAGGGAGCTCAGAGTCAGAGAAGAGATAAGGTTCGAGAGTCTGAGAGAGAGACTGTATGAGTGTGAGGTGAGTGTGCGTGTGTGGTGTCATGTCTGTGTGTGTGTGTGGTTGGGTCATCTCATCTGAGATCTGACTCACGCAGCCTGACTGATTTCACAATATGTCAATAACTTTCTGCAATTTCAGACCATGGACATCAAATAATAGTGCTTTTATAATGAAACCGTGTGCCACTGTGAGTCCGTGATATTCTTTCACATGCAGAACAGTGTGCCATTGTCTATTATATTCTTTCACCTTATCAAAGGTGGAGTATCGGAGGAATTCAAAGCATTTTCGTTTCTTCTTCTTCCCTTACCATTTTCAAAGCCATTCCAGATCCATTCCAAAGCTTGAACACAAAGGGTTCCATATTTAAGGTAAGTTTTACAAACTTATATTTATATTATTGTAATTTATACAACAACAAATAAATTTGTGTGGACTCATATGTTAATTTTTTAAAGTAATTAATACTTGCATGTTACTTTTTGTAAGTAATTAAGTAATGTTAACAATTACATGTTAATTTTTTTAAGTAATTAAGTAATGTTGTATAATTATTCCCTAGGATAATTTTAACATGTTTAATGTTATTTATTATTTTATTAATATTAGGTTTTATTATCAAATTGGATTATTATTGATTAATATTAGGGTTTTTTTTATTATCAAATTGGATTATTATTCATTAATATTAGGTTTTATTATCAAATTGGATTATTCTTCATTAAATTGGATTATTCATTAATTTGGATTATTATCAAATTGGATTATTCATTAAATTGGATTATTATTAAATTGGATTATTATCAAATTGGATTATTATTCATCACCATGTTTTATATTAGGATTATTTTTTTATCAAATTGGATTATTATTCATTAATATTAGGTTTTATTATCAAATTGGATTAATATTCATTAATATTAGGTTTTTTTTTATTATCAAATTGGATTATTATTCATTAAATTGGATTATTATCAAATTGGATTATTCATTAAATTGGATTATTATTCATCACCATGTTTTATATTAGGATTATTTTTTTATCAAATTGGATTATTATTCATTAATATTAGGTTTTATTATTCCATATTATTTGTATAACTACTTAAATTTTTACAATCATTTTCTTTACTTCGTATTTAATTCTTCTGTAGAATAACTTTATTATTTAGGGTCTCTTATTTTATCAAAAAATAATTGTCTAATTTTCATGAAAAATAAATATAGGTACGTTTAAGATGTCCAGTGGAGTTACTAAACGTGATCCAGCTTGAGAACATGGAGACCCAATAGACGGAAACAAACATGGCACAATTTGCAAATATTGTGGTCGGGTAATGAAGAGTGGCGGAGTGACACGAATTAAGTACCATCTTAGTGGATTAGATCTAGCAAAAAATGTCCAATGATGCGATAATGTCCCCCCAGAAGTGAAGGCATTCATCAGCACATTATTAAAAAATAAAAAACAGCAGAAGGAATATATAACACATGGAATGGAAAATATTCGAGCTGGGCTACAAGGAGAAGTCATTGGCCAAACGGTTGACAGTGATGATGATGACGATGAGGACGAATGTGATGATGACATGGGACCTGAAGAACGACGCAGTTTGAAACAAACATTACGTGCCTCCAAACAGTCAGCATGGGAAAGAGAACACCTTCATAAAATTCCTAATAGAGCACAAGGTTCCGGGACAAGTGGTGGTGCACAACTGAGACGGGGAGGCAGTCTTAGAGAATCACAACCAACACCACCAATAGCCCCAAGTTTATATAAGTCATCCAAAGCACGTCAAAAGAGTGTTTGGAGTTATTTCACTGAAGGTAATGTGAAGGAGGGAATGGGGCGTCTAATTAGCAAGTTCTTTATCTATGAAAATGTCCATGCTGAGGAAGCATCATCACATCATTTCAAAAATATGGTAGTGGGATGTCAACAGGCTGGTGTTGGAGTATAACCTCCCACTCCCTATGAGATAAGAAACAAATATTTGGATATGGAGTATAAAGACATTGGCAAGTATGTTAACAAGTTGAGGTCAAAGTGGGAAACTAATGGTTGCACAATCATGTGTGACGGATGGACTGGCCCGACCAGATTGTCTATCATAAACTTCATGGTATACTCCAAGGGAAAGACAATTTTTTTTAAGTCTGTTGATGCTTCAGACCATATAAAGAACTACAAGTATATTTACAAATTATTAAGGGATGTAATCATGGAGGTGGGAGAGCATAATGTTGTCCAAGTCGTGACCGACAACGGTTCTGCATTTGTCAAAGCTGGAAAAAAGTTAATGAAGCATTATAATGTGTTTTGGACATCATGTGCAGCACATTGTATTGATCTCATGTTTGAGGCAATGGGGAAGAGAGAGAATGTTGCTACTGTGGTCAAAAGAGCTAGTACGATCACAAATTATATTTACAATCACGGTTGGTTGTTGGCAAAGATGCGTGAATTTTGCAAAGGAGAAATTATTCGTCCAGCTACCACTCGATTTGCCACCAACTATATTGCATTAGACAGCCTACTTAAGAAGAAAGCAGGGTTGAAGCAACTATTCACTAGTGACGATTGGGCCAACCACAATTTCAGCCGCTCAAATACAGGTCGTATGGTGGAAAGTATAGTGCTTGATCATGCTTTTTGGACTCAATCAGAACATGTGTGCCAAGTGTTTGAACCTCTTTACAAAGTTTTACGGATCGTTGACACATAAGTGTATCCTACTATGGGGGCAGTATATGAGTTGATGCGTGTAGTGAATGATGAATTGGAAAGAAAACATGGTGCAAGGTGGGTCATAAAGATAATTGAAGACCGATGGTATAAAACATTATACCGCAATTTGCATGCAGCAGGTATAAATTATGTCATAATTTGCAATTCATTTCTTTAGTTGCATAAGTATTATTTCTCTTATTAGAGTATGTGTTTCTTTGAACATCATATTATTTGAATCCTATATACCAATACAGACCCGGTGTTGGAGATGATGGTACCCTTATATGTGCTGTACATAATGTATACTCTAAATTAGACCCTGCATCACCAACAGTTGGCCAATTTGGAAATGAGGTACACAATTACTTAAATTATAATAATTACTTTGTTGGATTAAACTAACACGATTTATTGAATTCAGCTAACATGGTTTAAAGATGCAAGAAGAACTTTTGGAGAACCAACATCAATTGTTGCTCGAACAACAATGTCTCATAGTGAGTGTAAACATATTTCACTATAAGTTTATAATAGAATTTGTTCGAGTTATTGGGCTTATCAACATTGTTTTTCATTATAGCTGAATGGTGGATCATGTATGGGACCGATGCACCAACTGTGAGAAAGTTAGCAATCAAAGTATTATCACAAACAGCTTCCTCATCTGCTTGTGAAAGAAATTGGAGCACATTTGCACTCATACACACAAAGCAAAGAAATAGGTTGGCTCATAGTAGGTTGGAAAAATTAGTTTATTGCTACTACAACATGAAGCTTCAAATTCGAGATAAGGAAGCAGAAATAGATCATGTCGACCGTGGTGACCCACTAGATGTATTTGATATTATTGGTGAAGATGATGATACAGAGGGTAACCAACTTTATCAATGGATTAGACCTCTTCATTTAGATGATGATGAAGGCAACCCAGCTCCCAGAGTTGCTGAAGAAGCACGTAATGAAGGGATAAATGTAGAAAGAGTATTAGAGGAGGAGGTGGGATCTAGCAGCGCTGACTCTTTGGAAGAACTTTTGCGCCCAAGACCAAGAAACACTGGAATTCCACCTTCTTCCAATCCTACACAACCACAACATCATGCTGATACTAATGATAGCTCTAGTACAAGATCAGGAGACTCACCTACCACCGGAGGTGGGAATGATGAAGGATACAGTTGAGCTGGAGGTAGTGGTGGTGGATATGGAAACTATTATGGACCACCTCCCGGATTTATGACCCCCTTCACTGGTGATGCAAACTTCACGCATGCAACACAGGATGATGACCATGGCAGTAGGCGGGCAGGACCAGGAATTGGTGCCATAGGGAATGACTATACTCGTAGAGAAAGAGGCAAGGGGATTTTGTCAAGTCAAGAAGATGACTCGTTATCTAGAACTTCGGACTCTGTTGGAGTGGGAAGTAGTAACTATGGTTATACTAATAACCAACCATTTCCCTACCCTTCATATCTCATTCCTGTTGGGATGGAATCGAGCGACTCATGGAAACAATCCCAAACTCAATCTTCAAAATGATTTTGCTTATGGACAACCTCAACCAATCTCGGATCCATATGGGTGGCATGTTAACAATTACATGCAAAACTATTTTGGGGATTTATCATTTGATAACTACTCTTCACAATACACTCACTCTACACATAGAGATGATGAAGATAGTGAAAAATTTAAACCTCATAGGAACTCTATGTGGTACTACAGTGTAAAATATTGTACTAATTCATTATATATAAATGATTATGGTGTGTTTAGACTTCTTTCATTAATTACTACATATTTTCTACACTCACAATGTTTGTCAGCTCGCTATATAATCAACTTGATAATGTTAAATCCATCATGCAATGCATTTCCTTCCAATTTTTTGTGATAAACTAATAGATAATTGACTAAATAAACATCCTGCAAAGTTTCAATAAAAATTTCCAAGTTTTTCTTACAATTTTCGTGGTTTCCATGTAATTTTTATCGATATCGATATTATCCCGATATTTCCATCGATATTTCCGTGTTTTCGGACTACCGATATTTCCGATATTACCGATATTTAATACCTTGGCGGATACCACGTGATTCTCAAATCCAAAAGGTAAGGTAAAAATGGAATTGGATCCTCTCTGAGGCAAAGCCTCAGGATCCTCCTAACCGGACAACACAGGCCGTTGGATTTTGATCTAACAGCTACAAACCAGGGGTCCCTCTAAAAGTTATAATAATTGTAGCCGTTTGATCAAAATCCAACGACCCGTATTGTCCGGTCAGGAGGATCCCGAGGCTTTGCCTGGTAGAGGATCTAATTCCGCAATCTGACACCTCCCAAAATGATTTGACAAGTACAATCTTATATATTAAGTTGTCTTCTCCCCAATTTTAAATATTTGGAAATGACCCAAGAAGGGTTAGGATTTCTCTAAGCTTCCTATGTAATAGTGTGCTGCATGCGTATGTAGATTTGATATATGATGTAAAGAACATGTTCTGGTCTGAAAACAAAATTTATTGTTGATATATACTTACAAACATTATAATGAAGAATGTGAATTATCAAGCAATAGATGCATACAGTTTACCATCTTTATTACTTTCGGATTTGAATTGCATTTTAAAGACACAAAAGATACAATTTGTAGTGTGTTTCATTCATATTTTAATTTCTACATTATAGTTGGAGTGCCAAAAGTTGAATTGGAATTTGTCAAAAACACTATATATGCCATCTGACTCTTTTTAGTGTTTGGGTTTGAAGGTGCCGTTTTCTATTGTTTGCGTTTGAAGGGGCCCTGTGAAATGCACCTTAGCAATTGGCTCTCAATCCATTTCATTTCAAGAGGATACGAAGAATCCCAATGCCATTGGTTGCTTGAGTGGTATTTTTGTCTCTATTTTTTGTCCTTTTTATCATATATTTTCGTGTAATTATTTTTAAAATATTTTGGATGTTCCGGATTTATTTTCCTTTTTGCAAGCAAAAATTGCAATTCATAAGTTAAAAAAGTAACCTCCACGGGCTGCAAAGTTTTCCCCTTGCAAAGCAAAATTGCATCAGTTTGGATTTATTTCTAACTGAGTGAAGTTACATGTGTTTTATGATCATAATCATTAATATAATCCTACATATGTTAGTGTCCTTAAGCCTCATGGCACAAATAACTTTTTTGTGCTGGTCATATTTTTTTTTTTGTAGTGTTTGAATATTTAGTACTGTAGGGAATGACACATCAAATTTATATATCTATGATCTTCAAACATTATCACGATGCATGTGTACGAGACTCACCTGGACCCTAATTCTATGTGGCCACTTAGCCCCACTTCCCACACAGCCAGAAAATCGGCAAGACTTTCAACAAAAACGAGTGGACAGTACAACTTCTGTAACTTTCATTGTGTGTTTTTTTTTCTTCTTAAGAATGGTTAGTGACTACTTATCGTACGAAGAACAACAACCCTAAACCTTAATTTTGTGAACCTTTCATTGTTTTTGCTAAACACTAGGCTTCACATACGTGCTCACGTGAAGACATTTTTGGAATCACGATGTGTTATGCACAACTTACATGTTTTAAATGTATTTATATGCGTAAATTGACAAAAGGAAAATTAAATATTTGAAGTAAATGAATAATTTTAGATCATGCTAAAAGAAACCCTTCATAAACCAATTAAAGCAGCTGAATTCACATAATAAAATCAGTTTCTATAGAATTTACATTAAGAATAGAGAAAATAATATTTAATAAACAATTGATTGAATCACATTATTGCTAGCTCATTGTGAGGTTAAGCTCATCCCCTCCCCCTTAGTGTAGATAATATCGTTTGTTAAAAAAAATCATTTGACAATTAATTTAATCACATTATTATCCACGTGTGAAAGACCCTTTTTTATAAAGAAAATAATATTTAATAAACAATTGATTGAATCACATTATTACTAACTTATTGTAAGGTACTAATTAAAAAAAATTACTAATTTATCACCGGCACTACGCACCTCTTAAGATGTTTTGAACATAATATTCATCATTTTTCTTATTTTTTTTTACTATATTTTTCTTTCCCCTTCATGTGGGCACCATCAACTTTCACTTATCCTTTCATTTTTTTTATTTTTTTCTCTCTTCCAATATATGTTATGATGACCGAATTACCCCTGCATTATTTGATATATTATATTGGGTTGCTTTTGAATTTTTTTGGTTGAGAGGCAATTTTGTCCTAATATTTTTGTCAAATGCGTGACCCCAAATTGGGGCTCTCGCTTTCTATTAGATTGATGACTACGACCCCCGTGAGTGAAAGCTACATTGATATTCCATTCCATGCATCTTCCTTTTTCACATACATACGTAGTACTTGTAAAATTTTCATCACCATACAGCTCTATAAAGCATCTCCAAAAAACTAAACAAAATTCTAAGAGTGATTAGAGAAACCAAACTTTATAAGTTAGTTGCAGCATTATTGCTATTAACGTAAAGAGCACATTCATAAAGAACAAAGAACACGTTCATAAAGAGCACATAAAACATTTTAATTGCTGCATTATTGCTATTGACATAAGGGCACATATGTTAATGTCCTTAAACCTCAGATAGGACAAATAACTTTTTGTACTCAGTGACTATATTTTTTTGTGGTGTTTAACATTTAGTATTGTTGGGAATGACACATCATATCCATATATCTTTGATGTTCAGACATTATCACGATGCATGTGTACGACACTCACGTGGACCTTAATTCTATGTGGCCACTTAGCCCCACTTCCCACACAGCCTGAAACTCGGCAAGACTTTCAACAAAAACGAGTGGACAGCACAACTTCTGTAACTTTCATCGTGTTTTTTTTCTTAATTGAATGGTTAGTGACTACTTATCGTACGAAGAACAACAACCGTGAACCTTAACTTTGTGAAACTTTCATTGTTTTTGTTAAACATTGATGATTACGACCCCCGTGAATGATATTCCATTCCATGCATCTTCCTTTTTCACATCCGTACGTAGTACTTGCAGACTTTTCATCACCATACAGCTCTATAAAGCATCTCCAGAAAATTAAACAAAATTATACGAGTGATCAGAGAAACCAAACTTTACAAGTTATATGTGAACTATTTAATAGAAATAAAGCCTACCAATACAAGTAGATCCTGCCTGATCCACACGTTGTCTATAAAATATAGTATTCCAAGCATTTTTTAAATTTTAATCTAAATTTGTGCTTGGATTTCTGTTGTATCCATTTGGCTAGCCATTTGTCGTATTCCAAAAATTAAATCCCTCCAAGGAAATCCGGCCTCAGGTGGATCCGACCCACCATCGCGGGTCTAGTCGCACTAGAGTGTATAGCCCGGGTATGAGACGGAAACCCATGAAATCATGGGTTGTTGCTTGCAAAATGGTGGGGAGGATAGGAAAATATGGGCGCCGTCGGTTTACGCCAGAGAGAGGGAGAGGGAAAAGGAAAAAAGAAATAAAAGAAATATGGGCACCGTCACATTATGTGGTGTACTAATGTA